TCCATTTTATGAGATCTGGACAAACGGTTAGTAAGTACTTTCACAATGTATTGCATTCAATCATTCGACTTCATGGAGTGTTATTTGTTAGACCTGAGCCGGTTGCAGATAACTCAACTGATGATAGGTGGAAATGGTTTAAGGTACGTACCTATTTCTGTGTTATGTTTAAAATGGGTAGCACCCATGGTGTAATTAGTAATTATATCTTTTATATATTATAGAATTGCCTAGGTGCACTAGATGGAACCTATATTAGGGTGAGAGTGCCTATGACAGAGAGACCTAAATACCGTAATCGACATGGAGCTGTTGCAACAAACGTCTTAGGAGTATGCACACGAGATATGGAATTTATATATGTGTTGCCTGGATGGGAAGGATCTGCAGCTGATGGTAGAGTATTACGCGATGCTCTACGTAGGGCAAATGGTTTACGTGTTCCAAACGGTAAGTATGTTTGTTACTAGTAAAGTAGTTTACTCGTTCTTTGTTACATCATTCGTTGTTACATTTACAAAATGTTAAATTTATGTTTATCAATTCTTTTAACAGGATGTTACTATCTTGTTTATGCTGGATACACCAATTGTAAAGGTTTCCTAGCTCCATTTCGTGGCCAACGGTACCATCTAAAGGAATGGGAAGATGGAACACAACCTAGGAATGCACAAGAGTATTATAATATGAAACATTCACATGCTAGGAATGTGATTGAGAGATGTTTTGGTGTACTTAAGAGTCGTTGGGCAATTCTTCGTAGTCCATCGTTCTTTCCTATTAAAACTCAAAATCGCATTATCTTAGCATGTTGTTTGTTACATAATTTTATTAGACGTGAAATGCCTAACGACGTTCCAGATCCAATTCCAGAAGATGAGTGTGAGAATGTTGAAGAAGATGAAGAACAAGAAGATAATGATGATTTGATAACGGCTGTTGAGCCTTCAGAGGAGTGGACTGGGTGGAGGAATACTGTAGCCCAAGATATGTTTAATGACTGGAGGAACCGTAGGAATGCATGACAATTGTCTATGTGTTTTTCCCTTGGAAGTTGTAATGGAACCTGTATTGTTTGCTTGTATTAGAACAAACTAATGTTGTTTGCATGTTTTATCCAGCACATTCGAATAATATGCATCGCTTTGAATTGCTTTTTATCTATAATATTTGCAACATACTATTTATATATCATAGAGGATGTTGATGTAATATTGTATACGTGTTTGTTCTTTGTTATTGTTAGGATGAACACTTCCAAATCCAGAGGTCCAGGTCAAAATAAACGGTTTTGGAATGAAGATGAGGATAAATTTTTAATTGAAGCTTTAATGGAGTTACATAATGAGGGAACGTATAAAGCAGAAGGTAACTTCAAGGCGGGACATCTGCATGCGCTTGAGAAAAAGTTACATAGTAGGTTGCCGGGATGCGACTTACTAGCTAGGCCACACATAGAGTCTAGAATGAAAACTTTGAAGACTAATTTTCAAATAGTGCATGAAATGCTAACTGGGCCTAATTGTAGTGGTTTCGGATGGGATCCGGATAGAAAAACGGTTACAGCGGAGAAGCCGGTATGGGAAGCATATCTTAAGGTACTTTTTTTTTTTAAATTTAGTTCTTTTAAGATATGA